ACGGGCTCATATTTCTCAGATACAATTTAGCTACAAGATTGGTTGACCTTTTGATTTTCGCAAATTCAATTTAATAAACATTATTTTCGTTCTAAAATTTTATCTTTGTTTACGTTACAGTGACTTCGGGAGCGTTGATGTAACAACCGAAATCGCAGCAACATTATTGCTATGATACGAATCTGATTTAATTCGCTAACCACTATCTAAAGATCAAAAGGTGACTTAACGACAAACTACTCAGACGGAGTTTAGATAAACACAAATTAAATTGATACCGTACGTACGTATTTTCAAATATCTGTAATAAGCAAAGTTTTTTTTTTTGTTGCTTAGTTGGTTGGACGAGATCACAGCCCACCTGGTGTTAAGTGGTTACTGGAGCCCATATACATCTACAACGTAAATGCGCCACTCACCTTGAGATATAATTTCTAGTCTCACTCTCAGAATACAGAGAATTTTCTGTATTCTGAGGTCTCACTATACAACGGGTGCCAATCAAACCGAAACGCATTACTGCTTCACGACAGAAATAGACAGGGTGTTGGTACCCACCCGTGCGGGCTCACAAGAGGTCCTACCACGAGTAATTACGCAAATTATAATTTTGCGAGTTTCATTTTTATTACACGATGTTATTCCTTCACTGTGGAAGTTAGTCGTGAACATAAAATATGTTAATACGTATTTCATTGGAAAAATTAGTAGGTACCTGCTGGCGGGATTCGAACACCGGTGCATCGCTACATACGAATGTACCAGACGTCTTATCCGTTAGGCCACGACAACTACATTTGTCGCCCCACAGAAATAATGTCAAGATTGATGATGATCTTGATTTATTTCTGTGTGTCGCCCTTTGTCGCAAGCGACGGGTTCGACGAGAACGATGACCGGGGGGGACTTCTAAGTACTGCACCACCGACTCAGTCAAATTCATAATATGCAGTATTAAGAGCTGCTGGATTGTACTAGTCACGCCCTTTCAGATGTGAGGAACACGAATTTAAAGGATACAAACATACAATTATCTTCAATACCTACTCTAAAAACAACAATATAGGGAACAGCAGCAAAAATTGCTTAGACCAGAAGTTTGGATACCGAAATTAATAAAAAAATCGATAAATTCGCAACTTATGAAAGGAAGACAGTAATCCAAAGAAGCTTTATCTGTATACGGTTTTCTATGATCAAAGTGACCTTATAATTTCATCACACATTTAAAAACGGCCACATCTGAAAATGAAAACATTGTGTGAGCGTTAAAGTTGAAAATCGCGTGTTTGTACGTAATATAGTTTGTACGTACGTACAGTTGTTGTTTGCCGTGGAATCTTCCCTCGGTGATATGATAACCTCATTATCTACAGCTCGCACGAGACATGGGTATAGATGCGTTTATTTATAATTTATCTAATATGACACAGTTGCTGACAAACATTCGAACATCAGTGCACCACGTGCGTTGCATTCGTCCGGATCGGACGATGGATCGGCAGATTATTCCCCGAAATAAGATCGAAGTAGTACAAGAAAGATTTATGGCAATTTTTTTTACTTACAGTCCCGCCCTGTTGTTCACAAACTTAATTTCGTTGGCCACGAAACATTTCACCGTGTCTTTTTAATCATAAATCGTACACTACGAAAAATATTCGAAACAATTCCACGATTGGATACTCACAAGTACCTACCTAAATGGCGATTAAGTTATCGGTCGCTTCATAAACAACTTGCAATGTTTGTTTGAATGTTTAAGACAAATCTTGGAGACTTAACTAGAACCACTTCCTCTTATCTCAAGAGGTTTAATTTAGGCCCGCTAGTTTCTATGAGAATGCATGTTTATGGCAAATTTAAACTCCAACAGTCCAGTGTTAGCTCTACTAACAGGCACTTTATAATGGACATTGACAAAGATAGGTACCAAAATGTTATGTAGGCATTGTATTATGATACTCGGTTTTAAGTTGTACCGTTGGATGGTTGAAGCATTCAGGGTTGGTTTGTGATTAAGTAACTGTTCATATTTGGACCCCATGATTTGCAAGCGAAGTAAATTGTCCCTTTGTAACAAGGTAACATCTTACAAAACTTGCATACGTTCCGTCATGACCTATGCAAGTGTAGTGTTCGCTCACGCAACTCGCACACACATTGACTCTCTCCAGGTTATTTAATAACGTTTCTGCAGGATAGTCTTTGGAACACCATGGAAGGAGGATGAGGAATGTAGATCTTCACGACGACCTTCAGTTAGAACTGATACGTAAGTATTTAAAGAAAGCGTCAGAACGCTTCTTTGAACAAGCAGCACCCCACGATAACCTTCTTATCGTGGCCGTTTCTAACTACATATCCGACTATTATCAGAAGGTCGCGAATCCGATCCGGTGATCGATTCAGCGAAACACTGCTCTTGCTAGGGCCAGTGGTAGAAATTCTCTCAGATTGAGACCGTGAGCTCACCTAGCGCTCCGTAAGTAGTAGTCTGTAAGTGGAATAGTCCCTTAGGCTACCAGCGATTAGGATTTCAGAGTAGTAAGATTTGCGAGTAGGATAAAAACATAAGTAAGCTTCAAGCTAAAATAAGTGGCGGTAACACCCAAGCCACATCTAAATATAATAATACTTATGTAATTTGATATCGAGAAACAAAATAAAAAAAGCATTATGTATTTCATAAAATAAATTTACAGATGTAAATCTCACGACAAGCTTTTAAATCATATAAAATGTATAATTTAATTAACTGATTTAATTTCGAATTATGATGTTTCATTATAGTAAACTTAATAACAAATCAAAAATTTAGATTTTATTATGAATTTATTTTCGGTAAGTTTGGAATTTGGTAAACTACATTTTTTGTTTTTCTCTGGTTGATTTATTTGGTCTAATTAAAGTTTTTTGTTAATAACGCGAGGACAATGCGGGGTAATATTAATACATAGACAAACATTGTGACTGACTCATCACAGATACAAATGATAGATTATTTATTACTTTGTAGTAAATTCTACATAGATGCGAACAACAATAGTTAATAAACACATTACCGTGATTACTCATTTTGTGCCCGAACTAATGGTCTACATAAGATTAACTCGTACTAAATTAGTAGCATTAGGTCATTAATGATAATTCGTGAATGGCATTCGCGATCATTCCGCACGCAGTCACGACTTAATGACGTCATTATGTTATCCGTAAACCGCTGGAATTATCTGTGAGTGATCGCATTGAGTTATTTAGACATTAATATCTGTAAGTGTGACTAGCAATAGCAAACATAATAGCGATTGATGGCTCTAGAGCAATTAACAATAGTTAAGATAGTCAAAGTATGAAAACCTGAAAAAATATTCTTTTAATGCCACATACCTACTGATGTCGAGAGTTTAACTTTTTATAAGTATCTTAAACCCATCTGATACAAAATCGAGACGCTAACACTAGTCGAGAATCAAACGCAGAACTCGTGATGCTAGTAGTTTTATCTGCATATTATTAATCTATCTCTATATATAAAAATGAATTGCTGTTTGTTAGTCTCGCTAAAACTCGAGAACGGCTGAACCGATTTGGCTAATTTTGGTCTTGAATTATTTGTAAGTCGTGTAAGTTGAATTATTGTATAAATCTAGAGAAGGTTTAAAAGGCAGATAAATATGAAAATGAACGAAATTAAATAAAAATAACAATATTGTTTTTCCTTTGATGTGTCCCCCGTCGGACGGATTCCTTTTGCTTGTTTTAGGTTTATTTTATACAAAAGTTTAGGTCTTTTATTTATCAATTGAGGCACTACGAAGTCTGCTGGGTCAGCTAATTATTAATATATATTAATACGTGAAGCAAAAACTTTGTACCCCTTTTTACGAAAATTGCGCGGACGGAGAATTATGAAATTTCCCACCCTTATAGAGAATATAGAGGAGTGCAGAATGTTCATATTATTTTTGCATAAAAAATACATTAAATCAATAAAAAAAACATTACACACACTACCTACATGGTACTTTGACACACACACGCATGCATACTATTTGTTTATTGTCAAACTTTTCTTATTAGTTAGTCTGTGGTGAAATTGAGAATAGATTAAATATTGTCTCTATATTAATATTTGCCTAAAGTGTAATCTTGGCGAAATCTGTGATTATACAAGAATAAATAGTCTTTGACAATAGAATATTAATAGAGTACAAGCTTATAATTTCAATTAATTCAACCGGGGCACTACTAGTTATTATTTCATTTACATAAATATTTCAATAGGTCACGTATGAAATGTCAAATCTGTGCACACGTGCCGACAAAAATACCTAATTTTTCTTGGGCACGTGTCAAAGCAATCACTGCGTCTTTATTTAATTGGGCACGTGACAACTATATTTTCTTAGTACACAATCAACTAGCCAGATTATAGTTGGAACGCAAAAATAAATGAAATAAAACAAAACGATTTTTCGATAAAACCGAAAAAGGTTAACGGCTCTTAATTGGCCATGGCGTTACACAACCATTTTTATTGCTCTAGAGCAGTGACTCTCAAACTTTTTTGGTCGCAATACACGTAAAGATTTCAAAATTTGACGTCCCACAAAGAAAAATATAAGTTTGACAGTTATTTATACAAGTATAAAGAATAAAAGGACTGTGTAAAATAGTTTAGGTTCATAATTTGTGACACACTTAGAATTTTCGATAAACAATGGTTCCAATGGACTTCCTCCCAGAAGGACCCTCAGATTTTTATAAATTGATATAATTTATGGTGTCAAGAATTAAGGTCGATATTTTTCCATAGTCTCTGAATAAAATGTGTTTGTATTTTACATTAAAATTTCGCGAAGATTTTATTTAATCGTAAAATGTGTCATACAATTTTTAGTAGCCGAGAATTGAGAGGATCTACTCAAATACCTACCGTTGCTGTTCAATAAAATTAAATGTATCAAAAAGTTTTTTTAACAAGAAAAAAAAAGCCGTATCTGTCCAACATTTAATCCATAATAAACTACAAAACTTTATATCTAGCTTTGTTGACCATGTGATGGGCCGAGGTCTGGAGTTTGAGGAGCTCTTCCTTGATGAGCCGCGTTATCTCGGATTTGGCTTTGGCGACGGCCAGCTCCTGCGAGCTCTCTATGGCGAGGTACAGCTTGCGTTCGCCCTCGGGCGGCGCCTTGCCCGGCTGGACGTACGTGCCGCGCACTGTTATACCGGCCTCTGAATACTCGCTGATTAGAGCTAGCGCCTCCTGTAACGAGATATTAAAATTAATTTCGTAAACACAATAGGAAAGAGGTCCACCGAAGAAGATATGAAAGAGGAGTGAGGGTTTAGATGACGGCTGATAGATAAGGAGAATGAAAAAGAAAAATTCGCTAGCGAACCCCAACTAGTGAGATAAGATGTAATAAAATTAAAAAAAACTCCGTGGATTCTACACTAACAAAATAGTATGTATATTTTTGTTTTTTTTTCCTACATATGCTGATGGTCTTGAGAGACTATTTCAGCGTAGCCTTAACTAGTAGGTGAGCTCACCGGGCTCAAACCTGACGACGTTGCTACCACTAACCCTAGCGGTGCTTCGTAGAATCTACCATCGGATCGGAAACGCGACCCCATGAGAAGATCCGGCGAGAAACTCAGTGGGCTATGTCTGTACGTTAATTTACCCGACGAGCCCTTCGTCGCAAGCGACGGGTTCGACGAGAACGATGACAAGTTAGAATATTTTTGCTACTACTATATTCCCATAACGCATCTATGGCAATATCAACCATGTCTTCACCTCTGGCCATAAATTTACTGATGGCATTGTGTTGCCAGTCAACGCATATTGGGCTTTACCTATTTCGACCATAAAACAATGAAGAATTGGAATCTGATCTTTTTTTAACATTTCTTAGTCGATTATTGCGTGCTTTATTTTTAATCACCTAACCGAAACTAGGCTAGCTTTTTAGCCAGTCAAAAAAGTATCTAGGCTGCGTTATAGTTGAGTCCCCTCAGCACAATTAGAAGCACATATTTTGGGAGTACACAATAAACGGAAGCCACCACCACCGAGCGGATGAAATTTCTCGATAGACCGACGGTACGAATGTTATTTATTATTCTGAAATTTCTATAGAACAAGCAAACCTTTCTTGAAATTGTCGCTAGCGAGATGCAGTCATATGTCAAATAAATCTTTTTTCTACGATGGGTACCAACCACAACATTAAACTTATGTTAAATCAGAAAAAATAACAAAAATTTAAATAAGACAAATAAAGAACCAATATATTGAAGAAAAAAAACCTAAAATAGAATAAAGTTTAAAACACCTAAACGTACAAACTTACCATAGATCTAAGAAACTAATGACAGTGCTTATGATAACATTTTTGTTTTTTTAATAATTTAACACAGAAAAATATCAATGCACCGATGAGAGCTAGTTTCAGGAGCATCTTGCGATACGAACAAAACCTTGGAATATACTGAGAATTAATGCGTTCACAATGCACTCGTCCTGATATTTTATAGCGCAGACTATCAAGTGCACGACCCGACGTGACGAGATCAACAATCTTGGAAAAAAACAAAGTTCGTTGGACTGACGTATCGGTGTCCTTTGTTTGTGGGTCAAAGCTAAACTATTAACTCAAGACAATAATACCCTTTTATTTTTCTCGCCTGTAAAGAACGACCTGTTTGATATTAAATGGTTACTGAAGTCTGTAGAGTTAACACAGAAATGCTGACACAGGCCTTCAGACGAGAGATCGAAGTTTCAATGATATATGTAACAACTGTTTTATTCTACAAACCTAAGCCCACTGTTAGTTCTGCGAGAAGCAGTAACTGTACTTTAGTTTAAAAAAGATCTTAAATTAATGTCAGTTCTATTGGTTTCGATGTCTGTTGGATGCAAGATATATTTTAAGCAAATTAAACTGTTTGAATGTTTAGTGCCGAGTACAGTCGTCAGTGGCCATTATGTAAATTATTTCGAAATTTCGTCGTTTTGTCATTCCTTCGTTGTTGAGCATCACTCAGGACTCTTCTGCCTCGTGAAGAAGAGCTTCGTACATCTATTTAGATCTATATTACGCCGGTAAGAGTAGCGTCATCTATAGCCGAAACGAATTTCAAAGGATCTAGTAACATCTAGAACGCTCGAGACGTACAACGCCATCTATTGTCAGATATCGGAAACACACATCAAAAATACTCGAGTTGTGAGGAATGTTCTCGATAATTCTAGGGATGTCGTATCGACTATAAAATCGTTGCAGAGATGGCACGAAGCAGTTAGTAATCGGATCTACTCGAAGCGAAACAGCGAACGGATCACCTGATACAAAGCGGAAGAAGTGGATTGAGAATTTTAAAGTGTTCTAGGCGATAAATACAGTTTTAATGCATACTTCGGTAGAATTTTTATTTACGCCGAAACCCAGCGCGTAATAATAGTTTCTGTTAACGCACTATTGTAGATAGATGCAGAGGTTCCTGGTAATAAAATTGAACTTTGCTCGGATGGCAGGCGGGGTTTAAAAAGCATCTCCACAATTCCTCTAAGCACTCCTTAGAACGTACGCTACAAATAGGGAAAAAAACACAACATTCTCTACGGAATCAAACAAAAGCAGCGTATAATTCTGCTTACAATAGTTTGAACCTTATGTTGTCAACAATAAAGTTGTATTCACCTTGCTAGTGACCCTCCACCTGGCCTGCTGCGGGAAGTCATTGATCTCCAGCTCGGTCTCGTACTTGCGGAACACCTCCTCGGTCGGTTCGTTTGTGTTGTCGTCTCGCGGTTGGTAGTTGAGTCGCGTGTTCAACTTCGCGGCCAACTGTTCCGCCACTGTTTTAGCCTGTAATTACAAATATATTTTAGCGACAACAATTACTACAATACAATGGAAATTCAACCGGAATGACTGACAATTAAGCCATGATGCCACCCATGATCGAACATAGTGGAAGAACGTCACATGTGGTCGCGATCCTCAGTAGTGAGGGAACGATATAGAAGAGTACCGCCCCTTATTAGGCCTGCAGCGCCGGCAACTTTGGGAAAGGATGATTTAGATGAACGTTTTTGATGTTCAACAAAGAGATACAATATTACCGTGATGAGTGTCTGCGAAGGCGCGCCCTTGAGGATCGCCTCGGCGGCTTGTTGCGTGGCGCCCTTCTGGTCTGCGCCGAGTCCCTTGGCGAGGTTGATGCGGGACGCGAGCCGCCGCGCTAACTCCAGCTTTCCGTCCGTCGCGCTAGCAGCAGCCGCGGCGGGACCGGACACGGCCACGCCCGGCTGTATAAGAAATAACGACTTTATTACACAAGCTATAAGGTTCGATTCGCAACGTTTCGCCTCAACAACTAGTGATGGTACATATTGTTCACCTACTAAAGATATTATTCATACGTGAAGCAAAAATGTTGTACCCTTTTTTTTGAAAATTGGGCGGACGAAGGAGTGTATGAAATTTCCCACACTTATAGAGAATATACAGGAGGAGTGCAGATTGTTAATATTTTTTTAAATCTAATATATAAAATTCTCGTGTCACAGTTTTCGTTGCCATACTCCTCCGAAACGGCTTGACCGATTTTGATGAAATTTTTTGTGCTTACCCGGTATCTATGAGAATCGGCCAACATCTATTTTTCATCCCCCTAAATGTTAGGGGTAGTCCACCCCTAAATTTTTTTTTTAAATTTTTAGACAAAAATTTTTATTTCTATTTTTTTATGATACAACATACAAAAATACATACAACTCTAAATTTTCACCCCTCTACGATCAACCCCTATTTTTTATTTGCTAATTAATAACTTTAATTTTTTTTGCGAGAATGTTGTTTTTATTTTGTCATGACGTAGAATAAAAAAAATCATATTACTCTGAAATTTTCACCCCTCTACGATCAACCCCTATTTTTTATTTGTTAATTATAAACTTAAATTTTTGGCAATTTTTTTTATTTTGTATTATCATGACTTAAAATAAAAAAAATCATATTAATCTCAATTTTCACTCTTATACGATCAACCCCTATTTTTCCATCCCGATTAATATTTTTTTTATTCTATGCACTGATCCGCAATAAGGTTGCAAGATGGCAATCAAATATTATAATTGTAGTACGATAAATTCTTATTCAGAATTTATAATTTCAAGTTCCTTTAATTAATGTTTTTTAAATTGAATTTGATCTCCCGCCCTCGCCGGTCGACTACTGATCAACTATCAATCGATCAGCTATCCCCGCCAGGTGTCGCCAGGATGAAGACGAAGCCGGTCTCCTGTCTTACTTACTCACTATACATCATAGATTATACACTTAATATATTTGAGAGCTATACAATACTATACATTTTTCAGCTATGTTTTTTTGGTTTTATTTGTGTATCAATAGTATGTTCAGTAGGTCTGAGAATCGGCTACTATCTATTTTTCATACCCCTAAGTGAAAAGGGTTGTCCACCCCAAACATTTATTTTTTATTTTAATTTTTTGGATATATTTTTTTTGTTTATAATGAGGTATTATGTGGTTAAATGAGGTTTTTTTTTCTACAGTAGAATTTCCCTAGAAATCTTATTTAAGGCAACACAACGTTTGCCGGGTCAGCTAGTTATGATATAAAAAATACAAACATCAAATCAATAAAAAAACATCACACATTTTAGTCGTCGTGGCCTAGAGGATAAGACGTCCGGTGCATTCATGTTGAAGCGATGCACCGGTGTTCGAATCTCAGGCAGGTACCAATTTTTCTAATGAAATACGTACTCAACAAATGTTCACGATTGACTTCCACGGTGAAGGAATAACATCGTGCAATAAAAACCAAACCCGCAAAATTATAACTTGCGTAATTACTGGTGGTAGGACCTCTTGTGAGTCTACACGGGTAGGTACCGCCATCCCGCCTATTTCTGCCGTGAATCAGTAATGCGTTTTGGTTTGAAGGACAGCGCAGCCGTTGTACTGTTAAAAGTGAGATCTCACAACTCATGTCTCAAGGTGAGTGGCGGCATTTACAATGTAGATGTCTATGAGCACCGGTAACCAGCACACATGTCAAGACATCAGGTGGGCCGTGAACTCGTCCAACCATCGAAGCAATAAATAAATAAATGTATAGAAATTCAGAGGCATTTAAATTTGAGCTCACTTTAATTTCTTTGACAATCTTCTTGGCAGCGAGCATCGTCTCGATTTGTTGATCGAGATCTCCCTCCACGTCCTCGTCGTCGGAGTCTTGAAGGCCGAGAGCCGCCTTCTGATACTTCTTCTTTTCCGAAGCAGCCTGGGCTTCAGATTCGTCAAACTTGAAACCTAAATTAACAGTTTACAATTAGATCGGTTGAAGCCTCAATTAGCGCATAGCTGCCGGAAAATATCCGAGATAAACCTGGATCCTATTAAGCAGTAATGCGTTTCAGTTTGAAGGCTGGGGCAGCCGTTGTAACTATACTGAGACCTTATTTATTTATTTATTGTTAACATAGAAGTAAAAACACAATCATAATTTGCATCAGTGCTTGAAGTAGGTGATAAAACCTGTATCTCAAGCAGCAGTGCTCCTTGTGCAAAGAATACAACAGCTTTACTTCAAAATTACAAAAATAAACCACATCTTAGAACTCATATCTCAAGGTGGGTGGCGCATTTACGTCGTAGATGTCTATGAGCTCCAGTAACACTTAACACCAGGTGGGCTGTGAGCTCGTTCACCCATCTAAGCAATAAAAAAAAGACATAAGAGTCCGGATAAACAGTTATCTATTTGCCAATTTTTGCCGATAGTTGTCTATACAACAATCACAACAATCACCTTTCCCACTAAATCCGCCTCCCGTGTGCACCTTCTTCCCGTCCTTCTCCTGCGCCTCCTTGTACTTCTCCCACAGGTTCTTTAGTTCGGCGGGAGGACTGACTCCGGCCAGCTCGAAGGCCCTGAGCACGTCGCCCGCGTACCGACCCTGCTCCGGAGTGAGGAAGGTCCATGCAAATCCTTTGTTGCCGGCGCGCCCGGTGCGTCCACATCTGATATCAAATGTCACTTTAGTTACAGTAGATTATTGGGGCGAATCGGGACGCTTTCCAATTCCAAGACAAAATTTAAGAGGTTTTTCTTAGCGTAATTAATACCAATAAAATTGAGATTAAAAGGGTTACGGAGGTTTACATTTTCATATACGATGCATCTATATATCAATACGTGAAGCAAAAACTCTGAACCCCTTTTTACGAAAATTGCGCGGACGGAGGAGTATGAAATTTTCCACACTATAGAGAATATGGAGGAGTGCAGAATGCAATTTTTTTTTTAATTGTGCCTAAAAAATACATTAAATTGAATTGATAATTACTTTCAAAAATACATTAAATGAATTAAAGAAACAACACAGATTAACATGTATTTGACACAAGCACACATACTCTTCGTATATTGCCAAAATTTTGTTATTGTCTAGTCTGTGGTCAAATTGAGAATAGATTAATATTATTTGTCTTTAATATTATTTTTCTATAATGTAGTCTTGGCGAAATCAGTGATTAACGGAAGTAAAATAATAGTCTTTGACAATAGAACCATAATAATGTTCAAACTTATGATTTCAATTAATTATAGTCGAAGTTCGACTACTGCGAGACCACTAGTATATATAAAAATAATAAAGTCAACTCACCTATGCACATAATCTTCATAGTGATTCGGGCAGTCGTAGTTGACCACCAGAACTAGTTGCTTGACGTCCAGCCCTCGGGCAGCAACGCTGGTCGCTACCAGCAACTTGACCTTGCCGTTCTTGAAGTCTACTATCGTCGAGTCCCTGTCGAATTGATCAATCCCTGTAACAGACCATCATTAATATATTTGTCATTAAACACACAAAAGAGAATGTTCGTTCGTCAGATACGTAAGCGTATTACAATTATTGTATTAGTCAGTCATGTTTTATATTTGTCTCTGGTAACAAACGCTGCGCGAGGCGCCTAAGTTATTTTCTTAATATTTTCTAAAGTGAATCACTAATCGTAATAATCTCTGCCAAATACATAAAACAAATGCATTTTTACCGCGGTCATTAGTCTTATAAAAACCAAGCTTATTTGTTTGTAAAAAAAAAACACAAAGAACTTAAGTTTGTTGTTTTATTGTTTGTTATTGTTATCGTGAAATTGTTTTATTTCGATACGCTTCCACAACTAATTACTACGGACGTTGGCTTTATGTTTAATAATTCGCTGAAACACCTCAACCCGTAATTGTCACTGAAATCAAAAAGGTATCCTTTTATCTAGCGATGGTTTCAAGGGCTGAAATTACAATTTATCTTATTACAATTAGGACGTTTCGCCTAATTATTCATATGAGCGTGGCGTATAAATACAATTGTGCGGACACAGTGGAACCTGCAAAGCAAAAAAATAACGCCTCAGTACCATTCAGAGTAAAGGTCTACACCGAAATATCTTCACTGGTATTTCGCTTCCAATTAATTTGGTCAATAAATATAACAGAACAATCGTTTGAAAATTGCGGGCTAGTTTATTGATGATTACGTGCCAATAACTTTCATATGTCATTGAAGTTCCAATAAAAACTATCTATAGGATCCGTAACTAAGTACTCGCTGTTTTTTTTATAAATGATAATGCAATTTTATTATGAAATAATGTTCACAAATGAATCATTCGAAATATATCCCATTACTAGCCACAGAGGACAGAACCGTTGCAGGAGTGTACGTTACAAAAATTCCGTGTTCAAACTGTATTTCATATAAACTCATACGCATGCATATAAACTCTCTCCAGATCCTCCGATCCTAATTCTGCAGGATAGCTGTCGGAGCACCGAGGCACGTAAGGAATGTCAACCTTCACGACGATCTAAATGTAAACCCGATACGTAAGTATCTTAAGGTAGCGCGTCAGAACGCTACTTCGAGAAAGCGGCGCGACACGATAATCCTCTTTTGGTGGCCGTCGCTAATTACACATCCGAACCAGGCGACGGGGCAAAGCCGCAGCCGCCCGTAACGTGCCTTGTCGGATCCCGCGGATCTGCTCTCGGCGCTTTTAGTGTCCGTTCACACAGACCGGATTGTATATGTTTGGAATTGGCCAGAGCGGAGCCGCCAACTATTTCAAATAGATCGGCTGGAAGAAATGAATGAATCAATGCGGGCACGCAATCAGAACTGATCGGCTACGCGAGCGAGAAAGAGCGCTCAATCAGGCTCCTCTTATTATTTCACACGCAGCGCGTTCAAGCATTCATAATGACAAAAAAAGTGCACATGCAAAAATAAACTTTACTACAATTACTCAAAACTCTGTTTCCAACGTAATAAAAATCTGCTCTCCTCTCCGAGCCGGTCCGTGTGAACGGACCCTCAGGCTCTTCAAGCACACATACACTTTGTCTATACACAGCCCACTGAATTACACGCCGGATCCTCTCAGTGGGTCGCAATTCCGATCCGGTGGTAGATTCTGCAAAGCACTACTCTTGCTAGGAATGGTGTTAGCAAACTCTCTCAGGTTGAGCCCGTGAGCTCATCTACCCGTCCGCGCGTTACTGGGTTAGCCATTTAGGCCACCAGCGAATAGTTAGGGAATAAAATTAAAAATTGAATTGAATTGAATCGAAAAAAAAACTGCCGTCTTGTGTATGTAGCTTCATTTAGTACTTCACTCACCTCCGTGTAAGCTCATGCAAGAATACGAAGCCTTCATGAGGTCTTTTAACAGACTGTCGGCGTTCTCCTGTTTGTCCACAAAGACAATGATGCTTCCCATTTGACTGTAGAGTCCGAGGAGTTCCAGCAGTTTGAAGAATTTAGCTTCTTCCTCTAGTATAGCGACGTGCTGTTCCACATCCTTGCAGACCACACTTCTTCCACCAACCTTTTGCAATACTAATCAGTTAAGGCGTGTAGGAAAAAAATATTTTACGTCGGCCTTCATTTAATAAACGAGATTTAAAAAAATTACATTTTTTCACGAATAAATTAGATGAAAAAATATTATTTTGTGTTCTCACAAGTAATAAGGGCAAGCCGTGATCTGGCAAAGTACCGCAGTCCAAAATTTCTTATACGAAACAGTCAAAGCTTTCAATACAAAGTTTTTATAACAATTGAGACCACGGACCTCACGTCTCAAGCGGACGAGACTCGCGCTGTGGTGCAAATCGTTTTGAAAATCGCTTCGCTGAAGGTAGATCGATTGTATTTTTTGAAATACCAAAATTAATACTGTTGATCGCATATCTAGTTTTAAATATAATACTAGTGTTTATCTATTCACGTTTTTCTATAATTTTTTTGCTTATGAACTATATTTTTATTGCTTAGATGGGTGGACGAGCTCACGGCCCATCTGGTGTTAGGTGGTTACCGGAAACCATGTACTTCTACAACGAAAATGCCGCCACCCACCTTGAGACATGAATTCTAAGGTCTCACTTTTAATAGTACAACGATCTCCGGCCCCCCTGGTGTTTCCGACTAGCAAAGCCCATAGACAACAATGCAAACGTCACAACCCACCTTGAGACTTTGGGGTTGATGTCTCAATTGAATTGTATAACTGCTATTCCACTCCTCAAACCGGAACGCATTGCTGCTTCGTGGCAGAAATAGGTTGGGTAGTGGTACCTACCCATGCGAGATCACCAGACGTTCCACCACTAGCAACTACACAAATAATATTTTTATCTCCAAGATTCAATATAAAAAGAGTACCGAAATCAATCAGTAAAATCAATGGTTTCAAACGGGCAGTCTTTTCCAATAATAAATGTTTTATTACTTAAGCGATATACAAACCGTAATATAGTAGGGTTTGCAAAAAAAAACCTGAACGTTTAGTAATTTTTCAGGGAACAAATACATACATACATACAGTCGAAACCTTAGTAGGCATTTATTTAAAATTTATTTTAACAATCCTTAATAAAATATTTAATGAGATTCAATGAGTACGCACGGGTAGGTACCACCACCCTGCTTATTTCTGCCGTGAAACAGTAATGCGTTTCGGTTTGAAGGTTGGGGCAGCCGTTTTAACTATACATGAGACCCTTAGAACTTATATCTCAAGGCGGGTGGCGGCATTTACGTTATGGTTGTCAATGGGCTCCAGTAACAACTTAACACCAGGTGGGCTAGGAGCTCGTCCGCCCATCTAAGCAATAAAAAAAACAATTTAAAGTGTACATATAGTAGTACCTGTATTTCGATTGGCTTCTGCAATATCCTACGAGCGAGAGCCTCCATCTGTCTCGGGAAGGTTGCGCTGAACATCACGGTCTGCCTGTCGGGTCTTATGTTGTCTATGATTTTCATTACCTACAACAAGGATGTATGTACATTATATATTATGAACGAGTGTCTAATACAACAATAAACCACTTCGATAAAGCGGCACGACACGAGCACCCTCTCATCGTGGCCGCCAGTAACTACATTCCCGATCCTGCGGAAAGAATGGAAAGCAGTCGACGTCGCCCCAAACACGTCATTTCGGATCCTCCCGATCCACTAACGGTGCTTTTAGGTACCTCAAGCACCGGTCACCGTTCTCGTCGAACCCGTCGCTTGCGGCGAAGGGCTCGACGAGTAAATTAACCCTCAGACACAGCCCACTGAGTTTCTCGACGGATCTTCTCAGTGGGTCGCGTTTCCGATCCGGTGGTAGATTCTGCCAAGCACGGCTCTTGCTAGGGTTCGTGTTAGCAACGTCGTCAGGTTTGAGCTCACCTACTAGTTAAGGTTCCGCTGATATAGTCTATCTATCAGCATAGGTTTAAAAAAAAAAAATAACTACAAAAGAAAATGTTGCGACCGAACGCAGTGGATCTCTTCTCTCTCTCTCTCTCTTAAATGATCCTTTTTCGATAGTTCCGAGATATTTTTAATTTTGAGTGACATAATCTTCCAAGGCGCTATAAGGCTATTCCAGATAGGTAGGTGAGTTCACGGGCTCAACCTGAGAGAATTTGCCAACAGTAGCCCTAGCAAGAGCAGTGCTTCGCAAAATCTAGCACCAGATCGGAATCGCTACCCACTGAGAAGATCCGACGAGAACCTAAGAGGGCTGTGTCTATGGGTTATTTCGCTCGTCCAACTCTTCGTCGTAATCGACGACTTCGACGAGGTCGGTGACCGGTGCTTGAGAGGCCGAAATCACCGAGAGTGAATCCAGGGGGTCCGACAAGACATGTTTCGGGCAGTCGGTAGGCAGTGGCTTGGCTCTGCCCCTGGCATTGCTGAAGTCCATGGGCGACGGTAACCACTCACCATCAGGTGGGCCGTATGCTCGTCTGCCTACAAGAGCAATAAAAAAAAAAGTCAGCTAAGATACAATTGTAGTTCCTTAACCTTTTCCTTTTTTTTTAACTACATATTTGTTTGTATAACTGAATAGATCGCACCTGTGGTTCGAATCCCATGTCAAACATTCTGTCGGCCTCGTCGAGCACGACGTACGTGACGCGGCGCAGGTTGGTGACGCGCCCAGAGTTGGCGGCCAACATGTCGATCATGCGTCCCGGGGTGCACACTATCATTTCGGCACCACGCTTCAGTTCGGCTATCTGAAATTTGTGCTTGTTCGAGTACTGTGTTACTAGAATAACACAAAACTGCCAAATGTGCAAATTAAATATATAGTCGTATTTTTTATTGGAAGAAGTCAACTGACGTTTACTGTGTTCTCAGTTTTTGATGAAATAAAAATAATGTTGTGACAAAGTGAATTATTGAAAAAACTCCTGAATGAATGAAATTGCTTTGATTGTCTAGTGAATAGTTAGTGTGCCGAACTGCCGATATCGGGTACGGAGTTCGAATTTTAGTCGTGCTTTGTACACACCAACGAGTTTTCGGCGACTATGTTCCTATATTATCTACCTATACTGAATACCGAGTGTTTTAAGCATTAAGGAAAACATTGCGAGCCAATTTGTAAGACTGTCCTATTTTCAATAAATCATGTAGTTGAAACTATAGATGTATAAAATATAACAACTATAGGCAAGTAATGAAAATAAAAAAATGATTGTAGTTACATACTACTAATAAGTTATATCAGAGCACTTTAATACAATTTTATTGTAAAATAGAAATAATATTCTTTTATAGTTTGAAATCATTAACTATTCACACTCATTGTTCATTCATCTAATTGAATGAGAATTGAACGCATCACTATTACTTTAAATATGGCAACATTATTTTATAAAGTGACATCAGCTACTGTCAGTTGGCTTCATCTAATTAAAAATACGACTATAGGCAATGTTTTTTTTTTTGCATGGATTTTTCAACAATAGTTTCTTTACGCCCATACAGTACACGACTATTACGTAAGATATCAGAAAATAAATGCTAAATATCTTTATTATTTATAAAAAAATTGGTGCAATTTTTCAACTGGTAGAAGCCCTTGAGAAACATTCTATCCCGTTGTCTTGCATGTTTAAACTGTATAGGTATACTTGTCTGGTTTCCTTTTCATCGAATTTCGAATCATAGCAACTCTAATGAAGTTTCCAAATAAAAAACAAAAACAAACCTGTTCCGATATCCCAGTGCCCCCGTAAACGCAAACCACACGTAATCCGAGTGACTTTGCAAACTTCTTTATATCTTTGCCGATCTGCATGCAGAGTTCCCTTGTAGGAGTCATTATGAGGGCTATTGGTCCGTCTGTATCTTCTAACGCCGGTTGGTCCAACACGTGCCGGAACATTGGCAGGATAAACGCTAATGTTTTGCCTGAACCAGTCTTCGCAATTCCTATTAGATCTCTGAAAATATTAATTGTATATAATATTTTTTAATTTTAGCTTTTTTTTTTTTATTGCCTAGATATGTGGACGAGCTCACAGCCCACCTGGTGTTAAGTGGTTACTGGAACCCATAGACATCTACAACGTAAATGCGCCACACACCTTGAGATATAAGTTCTAAGATCTCAGTATAGTTATAACGGCTGCCCCACCCTTCAAACCGAAACGCATTACTGCTTCACGGCAGAAATAGGCGGGGCGGTGGTACCTACCCGTGCGGACGCACAAGAGGTCCTACCACCAGTAAAGTACCAGTAGCTCAATATTATAGGCAACAATTTTTTTTTGGAGGTGATTGGGAATGGAATTTACGTTTACCACCCTCAATGACAAACTAAAGGCCGCTGTCGCTCATCAAACCGAGTCCGAACTCAAACGAAGCAAAAAGATATATATAATATTATATCAGATTACATAATAAATTTTACATATTATTATATTTTAAACTAAATATATTAATACATTTGACGAAGATTACATATACATTGTGAATTCCGTCGATGACTCAAAAAAAAATAATCTTAAATTGGATTCGAATAATCGTCAGACAGGGATGTACAATTAAGTCCCATCTTATTTATTTTTTATTTATTTATTTATGTACACACAAAAAGGAAGATAGAGTAATAGGAAAATTATGTACAAAGGCACTGCTTATTTCTTTAAGAAATCTCTTCCAGCAGACCTGCGAGAGGATTATGAGAATAATAATTAGAAGTGATGAGTGTGTGTAGAACAGCTAAAATAACAAATACAATATGAGAATAATATATGAGAATAATAACGAGATGACAAAAACAAAAATGCAACCCTTACCTTCCAGACATAATAGCAGGAATCGCTTGTGCTTGTATCGGGGTGGGCTTTTCAAAATTCAACTTCTTTAGAATGTCAAGTTCTTTTTTACTGATACCGCAATGCGCCCATGTCCTGATCGGTTTCGGACAGCCTTTTCCCTTGACACGAATACCTTCCAACTCAGTCCTGTACGTTTCTACTTCCTCTGGTGTCATTCTTGCTAGTTCATTCACCTTAAGGTAAAAATAATATATATTTCAAGAGAAACGAAGGAAACAGAAGTAGTCGTGATCTAATTGGTATTCGTACAAAGTGATGCTGCTATGATGTTGGTGTAGAAACTATGTCGGAGTCAAAACTAATTTTTTCTTATGTTAATACGTTCACAAACAACTTGCAGAATAATGATTTTACAAAGTATTACAATACGAACCTAGAAAGTTTTATGATTTTGTGTAATTGCTCGTGATAGAATTTAATTTTGGCTGACTTGCGTAGGTTTGGGATATACAATTGCGTCTAAAACATTTTTTTATGGAAAATGCTGTTGTGTCTGATGTCTTACCACTTATCGAATTCTTCGCGAGTGCATCTATCAGTATCAAGATTATTACCGGTAGCAATAAGACCAAAACTGTGAGAATTTGTCTAGGATATTTCAACATTGTTACTGCGTGGATAGCATGCTTCACTTTGACAGTTGGGAGCCAACAAATGTATAGAACGACTAAGAGTACAAATACACTTGTGTGGTGAATGTATTTAAACAGACTCACTTGGTGATGTAAGCAGAGAAATGTTACGCTACAACATATGTTATTACAAATACAAAAATATTACTTACTTCTGTGTAAAATGACTTCCTAAATTGCATGTAGTCTAAACTAGCATGGTCTACTTTGATCAAGTCTTTCCTCTGTTTGGAAGCAAGATTAGCAGCGGCATCTTTTATGTCTTCCGTTTCTTCTTCAGACGAATACTCCAAGCCATCTTGATTTTGTTCTATCAGTTCACCTGTGTAATAAGTGAATAAATATTTTATTATAAAAAAAAGAACACAATATTCCTAACCTAAAAGTACATGTTATTACCCGCAACATGCTTCGTCAGATTACAGAAATAAAGTTATCAGCAAAATGCTTCGTCAAAAAAAATATCGTGAATAAATTAACTTCGTGAATAAATTAACTTGATATTGTATAATGTCGTTTTAAAATGTTATCCAAATGTGAAAGGGGGTAATTTAAAACTTATGCTACCCCAATGAAATATCGAAAATTGGTATTACCGATAATAAGTGATCTTTAAGTTATTTTTAAAGAAGAGACTGCTCTGATGGTCTATAATGAGAGATTAATTAATTTATACTTTACCTTTAATAAATTTAATTTAACTGTTGTTAAAGACATTAGAAAAATATGTTGAAATCTATGAAATAACATAAGACTATCAATAAGTATACAGACATTAGTATTCACCAAATGATCGAAATTCGACCATTTCAATAACATCTAACGAATTTAATATGTGACTTTTTCTTAGCTTTTATCAAGTATTTCCTAATTTTTTTATTGGTAACATTAAAAACCAAAATGAAAAGAAAATCGGGTGACTAACAAAGGCGAAAAAGGTAACCTAACTGTTTTGTCCTCATCTATTTATATATACGGTTACTTACCCTTATTTTTCTGCTCAGTGACCTTTTTTTTGGCAGTGCCAGTAAGAATTACAATGCCAGTGCCACCTGTTGTTGGAACACTAATAATTCCTTTGGCTTGGTCCATTTGATTGACTTTACGCACTTCCTACAAAACAAAACGATTTTAGTTTCCAATTATTTTTCAAATGAACAGTAAAGAATTACACAGTATATTATTATATAGTATAAACAAGTACTCAGTTTTTTTTTTGCATTGCAACTGAAGGCATGACATACTAGGTGTTAAGTGGTTCCTATAGAGATCACAAAGTTAAGGTTTTGTTTTACCTATCTCTCTAACTGAAACATGCAACCTTGTGACAAAAATTGGGAGTATGCTGGAACACAATCTAATCATGAATGACAGCATATCTTATTTAAAAAAATATTACTAGTTTCATTTTTAATACACAATGCTATTCTTTCATCGGGGACATTATTCGTGAACATGTTATAACCGAATATGTAAAAAAATTGCCAGCGTGATTTAAACATCGACATCGTCACATTGGTTGATACAAGTACACCAGACATCGTATCTTTTTCGTCTTCCTGACGACTTCAATTTTTTCAAATAAAATAACTCTATTAACTTACTTGTTGCACTTCTTGCATGTACGCATCCAAAGGATCAATTTCATCTTCTTCTTCTTTCTTTTCTCCTATATTGTTTTTTTCTTTTCCTTCCGCATCTTCACCTGGCAAAGCTGTTAGATTATTTTAACATATGATGTGTTTCTTTTTACACAAAATATTGAGTAGAGGTATTCAGAAAAATCACTTTCTTCACACATTAATGCAAGATTATGAAAAAAAAAACGTTTAATTATTAGCCGATAAATTTTCTATGTGTATGTGTGTGAATCTTAAATTTTGGTAAATGATGAATAGATTAGGTTTTGTTTTACTGACCTTCATCACCAGAGTCATCTTCAAGTGACCATTTCTTTGATGTCGGTATTTGTATATTAGTAACAATGCTTCCTTTTTGAACTTCTTTTTTAGCGGATTCAATTTCTTTACGTTTACGTTCAGCCCTCCATCTCTCTATACGTTCACGACGTTTTTGCATTTCAGCTTCCAAGCGGTTTTGCTCTTCTTCCTACGTAAATAATCCAATAAAATTAATAGTAAGTTTTGGCTTCTGCTGCTTATAACACCAGGCTATGAATTGCCATATGATATTAAGCTCTTGTGAAAGAACTACATAAAGCCTCTAACACCACACCTCAGATGCTTTCCTGTCTCAACAAGGATACTATTCGTAGTATGTGTTAGTGGCTAAGTTTTATTGGGCCAAATAAGGTCAAATGATGATTATCACTTTACGACATTAGCAACATTCCATTGACAAAGAGATTTCATTGCATGTATGTTTGTAGTTATTATGTATTTTTTATTAGTAAATTCTAAATATTTAGTTAAAAGTCAAATGTTGATATATAAGGCCAAACTGCTTCTGCATCATCTCAAACTCTTACCTAATCAGTCTGTCTATAACATAATTCATACAAATTTACAGCTATTTTATATTCCCCTATTTACACTGTACCTGTTGTATATGATTTCGATTTTACACAGAATAAATAGACAAAATTGAAAATGTATACAAAAAATCTAGTACATATAGTTAAAATCATTTTTGGGTCTCATTTATTTAGCACTAATGTATGACTCTCCGTATTATGTAATATAATATACATTTATGAATATGTACTCTTAAATTGTACATAAGCAAATGCAAATTAGTTGATGTGAAAGCAAACAAAAAACTTCAAGTTTTTTACTTTGAATGTGAAGTTATGTATTAAAATCAATAAGTTGACTTTAATACATAGCATTGACAATTTTGCAGCTTTTAGCCCAATAAATATTTCTTCACTAATAACTTCCAGCATTATTATGCCAAATTGCCATATTTCTGTTATTCAAAGTCCATATATTTTTATATTTCATATATTTTTCTGTTATTCAAAGTCCACTTAGTGAGTAACAGTGTAATTAAGTTTTTGTTCATACAATCTTAGAATCTAGACAATTTTAATTAACATTTCAGCAGTTGTTTCAACAGTGTTTTAAAAAATGAGCCCTTTCTTAAGTTTATTATGAAAATAAGCAACAACTTAACAAACAAACCTTGTCAACAGAGCCCGGGTTATATTCAGAAGAATCAGCTTTATTACTCTTTTCCTTTGATTTTGATCTCTCCCTTTCCTTCTCCGGCGACTTCTTTCTCGATGATTTACTAGATCCATTTCTTTTATCATCTCTTTTATCACTGAATGAACTTAGATAAATTAGCAACACGCCTCAATTTAGCTTTAATAAAACATTTTAATAAAATATATTATGTACTTGAATAAATATTATTATATAAACTGTACTAACACTAACAAAAGATTATGGTGACTTTAAAATATTTAGCTTTCTATTTTGAGGTTATTAGTTACTCAAAGTTTACCTTTTTCTGTCCCGATCTCGCTCACGACTACGATCTCTTTCCCTACTGCGATCCCGTTCTCGACTTCGGTCTCTTTTGGAGTCACGATCTCTGCTACGACTGCGCTTCCTCTTTGAAGATTTCGAGCCCCGATCACGACTTCTTGATCTTGACCTCCTTCGTTTACGATCCGGTGTGTCAGAACGACTACGAGATCTACGTCGATCCCTTTCCCTATCACGGTCTCTCCTGAAAGAAACAAAATTGTATTGTGAAAACTTTCGAACGCTACCACATATTGAATAAGCTTCAAGAACGTTTACAGGTTAATGATTCAAGTAGTTCGTTTACAAACATCGACACTCACCCACTCCTAACCATTTTTTAAAGCAAATATAAAGAGATTTTTACACGTTTTATTTTTCTCATGCCTAAATCAACGGTGCCTTACTTAATACTAATAAAAGATTCTTGAAACAAATTGAACTGTGAAATTTGGTTCGATTGCTATGAGATAAAAGTACGCATAACAAAATCACAAAGCGCTTGCTTGCATCCACGGATTCTACATTTGACAGTTGACTTTTTAATTTATTAATTTTTGGGGATTTTATGACCTGGTATCCAAGACTTTTAAGTCGTGTCTTCTTTTAATTTTTATTTTTATTTTTATAAACAATGATAATATAGAGTGAAATGAAATAAAGACAATTAATATGAGACTTTAATCAGCTGGGATGAAATTTAAATGAAAGAAGATGAGATGATATGGGATAAAATATAATTTCAGTAAAATGATGCTAATTTGCTGAGTTTTTTTTCAGTGGACCTTCTGGAAGATCCCGAGATGTTATGTCCAGCGACTTCATTTCATTTTCCCACATTTGTGCCCTTTCATAGACATTAAACAGTTAATAAACCACCGTTATTATACATTTAAACCTGAAGAAACACTAAATAGACAAAATAAAACAAATCACATAACGTCACTCCTCGCGTTCCCGCCAAAAAAAACGTTGACTTTTTAATAGGTTGATAAAGATTGCTAGATTGAGTTTCTAAATTTACCCGGATCGAAATTTTCATATCTTCAAAATATAACATTTTGCAACCAAGCAAATCGAATGACAAAAATCGGTTTATTAAGAAAATTAACTCTTATAAATTTTTTTAATCAATACTGTCTAAGCCTATTCGTTGCAAATTTTACAATCGCGCTGAATTGACTTTCCGATGGGATGAAAACCTAACAGTAGTATCTCTTAGCCCACCACGCGCTAATCTAACCATCTACTTTGATAAATGTGGCGAAAGTCTCAAAATATTGCTACACAGATATATTTACTCTTCAAACCTCGAACGTTTCGCGACAGAATTATCTGAGCTTTACGCATCTTACAAATTCTGCTAAACGTTGATTCCATATTTAAAAAAAATGTGGTTCGGATATTACGTCCCACTCTATATCTAATGATCCAACAGCTTACTACTCGACTCATACCATCAGCCTTTAGCGGTTGGTATCGACTTTAAGCTATGCAGATATTAGCTTGCGAGTAACGTGAATATCACTGTTCATCTTAAATTTAATTTCCACAAAGGTGGTTCAAGTTCAAGATTTAAGCAGCAGTAAAATTAAAAAACGTAAAAAGTCGATTATTGAAACCTTTAAAAAAATCATCGACTATTTGAAAATAGAGAGAGTTTAGTACCGAGACAACACTATTCATGGATGTTTTGTGTACAAATCGAAACACGAAAATCAAAAGATAACCTAATACATTCAACCGACATCATTGAATATACAATTTAAAAATAGCGACTACTTTAGCAAGACATAAAACAAGCTATTTTCATAACAATATCTAGAAATGGCGGACGATACTGAAAATGTAAGTGTTTGATTTAAAAACATATAAACATCGAAATTTTTTCAATACCTATATTTTTATTTCATTATTTTAGGTAGCTGTTATGACCGTAAAAGAACCTTTGGATCTGATAAGGCTTAGCTTAGATGAGAGAATTTATGTTAAAATGCGTAATGAACGAGAGCTCAGAGGCAAACTGCATGTAAGTACATTTACAATATGAAACGCTTTTAAATTTCTTATTTTGCTAATTTAAACTTTTTGGCTCGAATAATGTACTACTTGTGAACACGACAATAGTAATAAGTTATTGAATTGATGAAACCGTAAGTTTGGTTTTATTAAATTAGCCATGTACTTAAACCTCTTTCCTTGGTTAGGCCTATGATCAACATCTGAATATGGTATTAGGAGATGCCGAAGAAACTATAACAACCGTTGAAATCGACGAAGAAACATACGAAGAAGTGTACAGAACTACAAAACGAACTATTCCTATGTTATTTGTAAGAGGAGATGGTGTCATACTTGTTTCACCACCAGTACGTGTTAGTATTTAAACTGATATAATTTAAGTATAATAAAACTTTAACTAATAAACCATCTTTATTTGTAACAAAATTCTTATCTTCAGTTTTTGATTCTTAATCTACAATTTTCTTTAATTTTTTATATTTATAATTACCAATTAGCACTTAAACCTCATTTGTTCTTTTTTTAATGAAAGTTCTAGACATAATTGTTCACCAAGTAGATTGCACACTATCAGATAAAAATATTTAGTCTAAATTGAGAACTTCTCGGAAGTTGTTTATAAACTACAGAAGGGTGTCGGTACACTGATATACTGTACAATATTATATAAAATTGTTAAAACATGTTTAGGATTGCCAATTATAAATTGTTTTGTCAGCTAGCTTGTATGATTATCCATTATAGCATTGCACCAAATCTACTGGAAGAATTCTGATTAGAATTTGTTTTAAAAAAATACAATTAACCTTGGAAATGAATGTATTTAATTTTGCTATAGTAAAAACAGTTAGAAGGAATATCAAGAGAGGGAGACAGTTGGATAGTAATTAAAATAAATTTCACATATTCAATATAAGGTAAGCTAACAATTAAAAACAATATTAAAATATGTTGTTTATTAAAAGAGCTTAGTCAATTATGATGTTTTCCTGTAATTCCACTTACAAACCTTGGCCTATTAATGAATATATGAAGAAAAAAAAACTATTATCGAATAACTAGATTAGGAGACACCACGACCGATATATAAATAGCATAGCTGCCAGGTATCTTCTTCATTTACTATAGGAGGGCCCTGCACTGCGTCCCTCTCGATACTCCCTCGCTCTTACATATCGAGGCGTCAGTGTGCCGCATCGCGCTGACGGGACACCAGCCGATCGTCATCGCATCCGTTTATCTCCCCCCTGACAAACCCCTCCTGAGCAGTGACCTCGAGACACTGCTCGGTATGGGGGACGCGGTCATCCTGGCAGGCGATTTNCACTAACGGTGCTTTTAGGTACTTCAAGCACCGGTCACCGTTCTCGTCGAACCCGTCGCTTGCGACGAAGGGCTCGACGAGTAAATTAACTCTCAGACACAGCCCACTGAGTTTCTCGCCGGATCTTCTCAGTGGGTCGCGTTTCCGATCCAGTGGTAGATTCTGCGAAGCACGACTCTTGCTAGGGTTCGTGTTAGCAACATCGTCAGGTTTGAGCCCCGTGAGCTCACCTACTAAAGTTAGGGTTACGCTGAAATAGCCGCTAGGGCTATCAGCTTAGGTAGGAAAAAAAAAAAAAAAAAAAAGGTATCTTCTGTAAATTATGGTCATGCTGTATTATGAGTTCCCAAATCGATATATGGTCAGCTAGTTGATCATCAATAATATACTTTAGTTGGTGTTTCAATCACATTCACTCAATCTATATTGCACATAACAAATAATATCACAATCTGTGATTATGATTTAATATGAGTTAATACTGGTACAAGTAAATATACACATATTATGTATAAATGATTTGCAACTATGTATTCAAAAATTCAGTGATTCAATTAATTGTTATTTCTAAATAAGATGTCTTCCATAAAATAAAACATCAATAATCAGTCAGTTCTTTAATATATTGTTAATAAAACAATGAAATTCCAATAATAAATTGTCACATATATAAAATAATAAGAAGATACTCATTAAATGACATTAATCTGTAAAGTAATTCATCATAAAACAAATTGATAGGTCATGAGGACCATATATTTTAAATCTTGATTGCTTTTTTATCTGCTGAACTTTACAATAGTAAATATAATTTCCATATACTCTAACTAGGTCCTTCCCCAATTGCCATCCTGATTTTCTCCCAATAATAACTGCTCAGAGCTGCTGTCAGACATTATATTGGTCATAGAACTACAAATCCATAGCACAGATGGGTGAACTAGCTCACAGCCCCGCAGGCGTTAAGTGGTGGATCCTATAGACATAACAACGTGAATGTCATCCACCTTCAGACATGAGATAGAAGTCATGACATTAGTGTTCCAACTATCAAACTGGAATGCATAATTTTTTCGTAGGGACAGAGGAAAGTGGTACCTTCCTGTGCAGACACATTTAAGCCCTACCACCATAAAGTAAGTACTGAAAACTCCCAGCTGACACATTGGATTAATGATTAACTATGAGAATAATAAAATACAAAACGTACGTAATCGTACATAGTCAATTCAAGTAAGTAATACAATTAATTATAATTAAAATTATCACATGACATACGAATTTCATTTAAAACATTGTCAAAAACATTAAGGATATTTCTCACGTGTGTTTTATAAGGATCTACTCGAAAATATTATTGGATTTCGGATATATCTTCGGAATATTGTTATTGGAAAGCAACTAAACGCACGTGATAAATATCAATTAAGTTGTATGGACTGATTTTTATCAATTTTTAATAAGAAATATGTATTAAGAAAATTAAATTTAATTGTCGGTATCATCCGATGAGCTCGATAGTTCAACGCTTTCATTCGGACCGTGACTTTGGCGGCCCCTGCGCATACGATACAACCTTGACTCGTCTTGACACTTGTTAGTTATAACGCCCCTGAAAAATAAACATGTCAATGAAAACCAAACCCGCAAAAATTATAATTTGCGTAATTACTGGTGGTAGGACCTCTTGTGAGTCCGCACGGGTAGGTACCACCTCCCTGCCTATTTCAGCTGTGAAGCAGTAATGCGTTTCGGTTTGAAGGGTGGGGCAGCCGTTGCAACTGTACTGAGACCTTAGAACTTGTATCTCAAGGTGCGTGGCGCATTTACGTTGTAAATGTCTATGGGCTCCAGTGACCACTTAACACCAGGTGGGCTGTGAACTCGTCCACTCATCTAAGCTATAAAAAAAAAACTCCAGACTCCGGAAATCATGGCAATCTCTGGCTTCGTTTCGACGTGAAAGAAGAACAAACAAACAAACACACTTTCATATTTATAACATTAGTATGTTTTTATCTACCATTCCGTTTACATTAAATTTGGAGATGAATGCAGAAAACTAAATGCAACACGGTCTATGGTCGCATACCCGAGACCTATATATCGGATGCTATCACTTTATATTTGGCCTGATTTTGATTGCGGGGCCGGACCCTAATATGCACAAAGAATTTCAATGCTCGCCTATTACACACTTTAAATTAGAAAGTATCACCTATTCCCAGACAGGCTGTACAATGGTACCATCATAACACATCTCCAACGCGTTTTAGGTATATTTACTCTTAAAAATTTGTAGCTGCCCTGAGACACAATTGAGTCGCTAATTACAGTTACTAGAGTACTAAGGACACGTCATTTCGGATCCTCCCGTTCCACTAACGGTGCTTTTAGGTACCCTAAGCACTTGTCATCGTTCTCATCGAACCCGTCGCTTGCGACGAAGGGTTCGGCGAGTAAAATAATCCACAGACACAGCCCACTGAGTTTTTAGCCGGATTTTCTCAGTGGGTCGCGGTTCCGATTCGGTGGTAAATTCTGCGAAGCATTGCTCTTGCTAGGGTTAGTGTTAGCAACGTCGTCAGGTTTGAGCCCCGTGAGCTCACCTACTTGTTAGGGTTACGCCGAAATGGCCTCTCAAGGTTATCAGCTCAGGAAGGAAAAAAAACACTAAAGTGAACTAACCTGATCAAGTTCGGAGGTACGCCACACCTCTGCGAAACAGTATTCACGACATCCTCTACAAGAGCGGGATCCAGAATTTTCTTTGCCGGCTTATTAGCAAATGCAGGCGATTGTTTTCCGGTGAGCGTATGTGTAGCTAGAGTTCTGAAATTATACATGTAGCTTACAATATTTTACAATGAATAGTGCTCGTGCCTAGTTTGTGTTCTCAGACGAATCGGTAGAAGTATTGTAAGCCCGTACAGATAGGGACCACCATCGAACCTCTTTCTGAACCTCCTCTACGAAGCAGACATGCGTTTCTGTTAGAAGGGTTAGCACAGCCGTTCAATTAAGACTAAGAACCCCATGTTTAAAGGTAGTGTCTCTAAACCCGTAGGCTAAACCTTGTGATTTTTATTAGTTTCCGGTAATCCCTTAATGCTAGACAGAAATTTAGTTCGTTCAATTGTTTACGGAATTATAAGGAAAAGAAGTTGCAAGTCTGGACTGCTCTAATCAACAATTCATCTAATGAGGATGTGTACATATCTATCAATAAACTTGGGATGGTATTACCATATTGGTACATAATAGTGAAATATTGGCCTCGCACGATGCGACGACAGACCAATGCTCGATGTTTTGCACGTGAGTTAATAAAATAATCTTACTTTCTAGAAAAAACAGCTTGCAATAACTGTCTGGTTGCAGTAGTGTGAGACTTCCAATCGATTTTGTTCAGGACCTTAGCAGACACCCTCGTATTTCCAAAACCGATGGGTACCTAAAAGATAGCAGGTTAATAAAACCTATTTTTGTCACAAGTAAAATCAACAGTTATCTCTATATATGACATGTCCTTCTTCAAACGAGGCTTGTGGAGAGTATTAAGCGGTAGGCAGCGGCTTGGCTCTGCCCCTGGCATTGCTGAAGTCCATGGGCGACGGTAACCACTCACCGTCAGGTGGGCCGTATGCTCGTCTGCCTACAAGGGCAATAAAAAAAATTCTATATATATAAAAATGAATTGCTGTTCGTTAGTCTCGCTAAAACTTGAGAACGGCTGGACCTATTTGGCTAATTTTGGTCTTAAGTTATTTGTGGAAGTCCAGAGAAGGTTTAAAATGTAGATAAATATGAAAATGCTAGGAATTAAATAAAAATAACAATTTCGTTTTTCCTTTGATATGTACCCCGTCGGACGGATTCCTTTTGTTTGTTTCAGTTTATTTTATACCTACAAAAGCTTAGGTCTTTTATTTATCGATTGAGGCACTACGAAGTCTGCCGGGTCAGCTAGTTATCAATAAAATCAATATGAATTATTACCATATCTGAATCAAGGTTATTAGTGGTCTGTGCAGACATCCTACGAACCACACAACCGCCAGCTGCTGGTCTCTCCGGGTCTATTTGCATTTGAGAATTATTTTCCGGTTCTGCCATTGCTTCGTCGGCGTGTCTGAATAAGGCATCATTAACTTGCTGTCGCGGCTGCAATCCTGCACGACTGGTGCTAGGCTGACATAGCGCGTTAAGATCATTTGCGTTTGATGCCCCCATATTTCTAGACCTCGGTTGAGCTCTTGAGACGCTAGCATTCTCATTGTTTGGTCTAATTAAACTGGGCAATACTAGGTTAGGATTCGAATTTTGTACAACACGTTCGAATTTTTTGTACAATGTCACCAAAACATCTTCCAACTCTTGGATTTTGGCGTGTATTGCTGGTGGATATTCTGTTTGGGTAGATTTGGTTCCGTAAGTTTTTTTAGGTGCTTCATGGCTTCTGCCCCGCAATGGGGTGCTTGCGGTCAAGGCACGACGTCTTTCGTGAAACGGATTATGGCCACTAGATCGTTTGCTAGTTTCAGTTCTGCAAGTATTCGAAAGGTATTTTACCCTCGGATTGCCAGATGCTGTGATCTTACTCCGATTAAATAAGTATTGCATCTAGAAAAGAAAAGAAAAAATGGAACTGTAATAAAACTTATAGGTACTAGGTATATACTAATAAATAAAAATGAATTGCTGTTCGTTAGTGTCGCTAAAGCTCGAGAACGGCTAGACCGATTTGACTTTTTTTGGTCTTGGATTATTTGTGGAAGGCCAGATTATTTGTGGAAGATTTAATAGGTAAATAAATATGAAAATTCTCGGAATTAAATAAAAATAACAATTTTGTTTTTCCTTTGATGTGTCTTCCGTCGGGCGGATTCCTTTTGTATGCTTTAAGTTTATTTTATACAAAAGTTTAGGTCTTTTATTTATCGATTGAGGCACGACGAAGTCTGCCGGGTCAGCTAGTATACTAATAAAAAAGAGTAACTACTGTTTCTTCTATGTCGTAATTACGCAATTTAGTACTGTTATTGTTTTTTTTTTTTGACGTTTCAACGAAAGCTGAAGATGGTTTAATCGTTGTCGAAATTATACCTTGGAATTTTTTATTTATTACATACGAAGGAAAGCAAACATTATCTTAATCACCGCTACCAAATAGTAGATTTATTTAATAAATTTTATTACCTCAGCTTCACTGTCGCTTGTACTGTTGTTTTCGCTGGGGCCTTCTACGTCTTTTTCAGTTGGATGTTGTTCTATTGGTTGACCATTTGTCAATGCGTCCACATTCTTGAGGGAGTAAACATTTTGATCGTTAAGTCGAGGTGACAAATTGCATTCAGATCAGGAGACAACAAATTACAAAAGTAATAACCATAAAGGCGACCAATTTTAGTAATAGTGAGTAATAGAAATAGGGAAGCGAATATTAATGATTCAATATTTTTTTAAATTATAGTATTGTTCTGCAGCGAGCCATTTATGCCATTTTGTATTTGGAAACCACTTGGCAATCGATGGCCCGTGAGCTTGACTGTCTGTTTGGGTATTCACATACAAAAGACCTGTAAGATGTTGATTAAAGCATTTTTGTAATTCTTAAACAATAATCACACACACACACACCAAAATTAGTTCGTAGTTTAGTCGTTTAGTAGTTTTATTTATAATATATTGAGATAAAGGCTTGATTTTATTTTAATATCAAGAAAAAAGTCCTTCGAATAAATTTAATAGCAAATTTAAGCCGTCAAAATGAAGATAATTGAAATTGGACACAGTTTTACATTGTTATTACAGGGAAAGCAATCATCCTGATGGTAAGTAGTCACTGTCGCCTCATGTATATCAGCAATACCGAATACACTGTCAATCCGTTGCAAAGTCATAATGTTCTAAAAATCTCATTAGAATTCCAATGCTGCATTAAAAATTTCACCACAAAATGTCGTAATTACATTGACGGCCAATAGTTTTTGCGTCAATTAATATAAATAAAATAAACCATTAGTTGTTAATAAACAATGTGTTAAATAATTTGAACTGGGATATTAAAACTCAAAACTAATGAATCTTTCCATGTGGGTACTCACGAAAGGCACAGTGTTCGTCAGCTCATATGAACGCAAATACAACGCCAAAACATGTCTTACTTTTATATCCTGCCTCTCCAGAAGATGTTGGTATTCCACTAAATAGAGTTTGCTCCCTGCAACAAAAGTCGCAAGATAAATAAAGATATTCTTAACAAAAACACATCTTAACACGACCTAATCTTGGAGACTTATACGTTGCACCTGATATCCTTATAACTAAAGCACGTCTCGCTGTTCCGTTTTTTAATCTTACTAATATTTCTTTTCCCGGACTGATTTCCGTTCTGTGATATGATAATTTCTCAACATTGACCACGCAATACGCTGGATAAGCGTAGTTTTCCGTAATCCACTCGAGCAGTATCCATAGTCGTTTAGACATAGTGCAAATTTTAAGTTTATAAAAGCGCAAAGTGATTTTAGGAGACGATTTTCCCCCGACGCTCAGGTAATAACTGCACAATGAAGTTTAGTCGGGCCGAGTTGTTGCGCGTAAAGACCCTTTGAGCAAAAAAAAAACCTACATTCTACAATAACAAAATTGTAGAGGGTAACCCGCCAATACACACCAAAGAACCGTTACGCCCAAATGTTTTTGATCCTAGAGAAGCAGTGAATGATAATAATATGTAGATATGAATTTTTAAATTGTAAAATCTAAACATGATTACATTATATTTTTATAAGAATTGAGTTGTGTGAGCTTCGTTTGTTTTGATCTACAGTAACAGCCTGGCCACGGGACATTCGCCGATACGAATATTCGCGCGGTGCGAACGGCGAAGCGTCTAGCGACTAAAACAAGCGCATAGAAATGTACCTAACAAGCCACACGCACCGGCGACCGACGAAGCGACCGGCGAAATGTACCGAGCGAATCGCGCGATGCGGCGGGCGAACAAAACAAATGCATGAATACGGACGGCGCGAGCCACGGAGTCGAGCGGTAGTCGCGGCGAATAGTACAGTGATTAAATGAGTTTAGTTGTTTTCGCCGCGAAAAATTAACGCCGAAATTTTTATATTTTTTATTTATTTTTTATTTTATATTTTTAAAGTCGTCGTGGCCTAACGGACGTCCGGTGCAATCGTGTTGAGCGATGCACCGGTGTTCGAATATCAGGCGGGTACCAATTTTTGTAATGAAATACGTACTCAACAACACTCAACGTTCACGATTGATTTCCACGGTGAAGGAATAACATCGTGTGATAAAAATGAAATCTTCAAAATAATAATTTGCGTAATTACTGGTGGTAGGACCTCTTGTGAGTCTACACGGGTGGGTACTACCACCCTGCCTATTTCTGCCGTGAAGTAGTAATGCGTTTCGGTTTGAAGGGTGAGGCAGCCATTATAACTATACTTGAGACCTTAGAACTTATATCTCAAGGTGGGTGGCGCATTTACGTTGTGGATGTCTATGGGCTCCAGTAACCACTTAACACAAGGTGGGCTGTGAGCTCGTCCACCCATCTAAGCAATAAAAAAAAATTAGCTGAAATACTAGCTAGACCAGCTATTTGGAAGTCTAGCCACCCAAAGTATTTCTCGTACTTCTTGTGGAATTCTCCATCTTTAGGTATACTCCGATTCTTATTCAAATCATGTACTTCACAATATTTTCCAAATAATATGTCCTGAACCAAAAAGCTATTAATTTGTAAGCAATATCGAGATAATTTCGATATAGACATTTCGCTGTCGGACTTCCTTACTAGTCGCGGCGGCGAACGTGAGTACCCGTGGCCTGCAAACGGTGCTGCGCGAATGGTCGCCTCGTCCACCGCTTCGCTGTTCGCACCGCCGATCCCCGTGGCCAGGCCGTAAGAGGAGGAATTAATAACGTCTTACATTATTCGATTGATTTGGACGCATTCGCAAAGTTAATACATGCGAATAAACTTTTACTTGCATGAAGTTTTCACCGACGTACAATAGGTGGCGCGCGTCTACTCATACATTAAAGTGAGTGTACTGTAAAATTAGATACTATTTATTACCAGTACGTACTATTTCGTATCTCATAATCATGAATATTTTTGCTTTTATTCGTATATTCACGATCTATGTGTTCGACCATCGCTTGTCCGATTGTATAGGTACTATCCTGATTTTTATTTTTATTATTTACTTGTATATTTATTTTTATTTATTTATAGTATCATCAACATAAAACATGTAGGGAAGATATTTTTTTATAAAAAAAAAATTCGTGTATACCTACAGCCTACAGTTCATAGTAAAAGCAGATTTTGGCTGGGTTTACATATAAAAACAAAGGTAAAATAAATAATACAATATATGTATGTTATTCTATATTTAAAGGTTTGAAACAACTTTTTTAGTTTGAGATCTGAGAGAAAAAACGCCTGCAGCAAAATGTATTTAAATACTGCAGCCGAAGAAACTTCATTTGTATGAAATTAACAGCCACATAAAATATGTGGAAGAAGCGGATGCTATCAGCAATATGTTCTTGAAGATATAATACTTTTAGAACTTCTGCTTACTAGAATAGATAAGTTTGAACAAACTAATTTTTGATCTGTTTTATTTACCAATCTTTTCTATACAGAGCGACGTCAATCCCTTTTAAATAAATGAAATATTTCAATTGCATTGAAAGAAATTGGTTTTTATCTCCTTAACTTTCATAACATTTTTGTTACATTATTGTTCCCTAATTGTTCTATTCTAACACTATATGGATGAAGCACACTCCGAGAAAGTAGATGATAATCATAATGTATTGGATATATTTGGATAGATAGGTAGAATTTATATCCCTATATGACATCAAGTGATGCGACCACAGAAATAAATCAAGATATATATCTTGACATTATTTCTGTGGATGCGACCGTGCCGGTATTCGAATATCGCAGGCAGGGACCAATTTTTCTAATAAGCACTTCAAAAAGTCATTTTTGAATATGTACGATAAAGGAATAAAATCGTGTAGTAAAAATCAAACGCACAAATTACATAATTTACGTAATTACGTATAGGGCTTCTTATGAGACCGCACGCGCAGGTACCACCGCCCTTCCTATTTCGGCCGTGAAGCAGTAATGCGTTTCCGTTGAAGGGCGGGGCAGCCGTTGTTCCTTCTATAAAACTGAGACTTAGAACTCATGTCTGTCTTATGCGCGTGGCGGAATTTACTTTTTTGATGTTTATTGACTCCGGTAACCATTTAACACCGGGTGTTGCCGTGAGTTCGTCCACTTGTGTATGTGATATAAAAATATCTCAATTCGCATTTGAAAAACATTTGAAGTCGGAATCCATGATTGCATTGCAGAAACCAAGGAATGTAGTAATAGATAGGATTATAGTAGCCACTTTTTCATGGCGTTTTATTTCGATACAAGGTCGCTTACAACGTGATTGAACTCCATAGTGGTTACTAGAATTTAAAGACATCTCAAAAATACTAAAGTGAAATCGCAAAGTACCGCAATGAGCGGGCATAAAGTGAAATTAGCGTAATTATCGTTGTTTGGTACAATGGCGTTTCTAGCCCATGTAGCGCTTGTGATTGCATAGGTACATTACCCTAGTGTCCTTATAATAAGAGCGCGGTCAAAATAGAAAAAGTAAAAGGTTCTTTGAAAGTGCCGAGGCCAGCGCTCCCTAACACCGCTACGCCCGTGTGCAAAGCATACCGTGCACCTTAGGTAAAGTCGCCTCTGGGTAGATAGGGGTCTGGACGGATAAGTACCGGAATCTTGTTTATGGATACTTCGAAGCAGTCATGTGTTTATAAGGTTGGCAATGGGTGGGTTTATTTTCAATTTAATCTACATTTTAAGTTCACGGTCTCAGCGTCATTATCGGAATTGACGATTTGTGGTCTATAGTCTACGGCAATCAAAACCAGGTGGGTAGTAAGCTTGGTCATTTATCGAAGCAAAAAAAGCCTTAATAGTATTGTATTGATTTTTTATTTATTGCCTAGATGTGTGGACTAGCTCACAGCCCACCTGGTGTTGAGTGGTTACTGGAGCCCATAGACATCTACAACGTAAATGCGCCACACACCTTGAGATATAAGTTCTAAGGTCTCAGTATAGTTACAACGGCTGCCCCACCCTTCAAACCGAAACGCATTACTGCTT